AGTGTCTTTGGAATGGACAAGAAAGATGTGGTTCGGCTTTATTTCAATATCAAGACGATTTAACAAGAGAAATTTTGATTCAAACCTAGGTTTTTATGTGATTCTTGTCATGGCCTCTAAGTCACATTACCATTTGTCTGATTGTGTTGTCTTTGTTTGTATGGGAACTTTTGTACGGTGATTGTGTGAATGGGAGGTTGGGGAGTCACCATGTGGGGATCGAAGAAATCCATGAGGTGGAAAGAATTTACCATAGCTACGAAATGTGGGAATCCAACTGATCATCTTTGGCATGCTATCCCATGATTTCTTGACACTGCTATTTGAAATCTTTATATATCACTTATACATTCTTTGATTTCGAATTCTAGAGAGTCAAGGATGAAGTGCAGCAGAGGCTGTTGCAATGCACTGGATGTCCTGAATCCGAAAATGGTGAATTGATGTTTATGAAGTCATTTGATCACGAGCAATTCCATGTAGCACTTGGTGCAGCTAAATTAACCTGCACTCATCCCATCCAAGAATGTCCTCGGGACTTGCCACGTTTGCATGCTGCAGAACAGTCTATCCACAGCCAGTGCAGCGGTCGACAAAAATCATTATCGAGCACCTTCTATGAAGAAGTGATTAAATCTTCGGATGATATACTTGGGCAAAATTGAAAACATCTCTTCCATCCCCTCCTGAAAAGGGAAGAAAACAAGAAATAGGAGCCCGGAAGCCTTCCATTTTCCTTTGATTAAAATTAAAATAAAGCTAGATTTAAAATTGGAGTCTCTGCTGGTTGATATTCTGTACAACTTAGTTGAAAATACAATACAAGTTCTTAACAGTTTTGCAGCAGAGACTGCAAGTTTTGGCTGTAGGCTTGCATTTAGAGGGGACATTCTCATTTCTCTCAACTGAAATAATGGATGCGTTGCAATTTGCAAGAAAGAGTCAATGAGAAAATGATACGGTTCTGTTTTATTGTTACCTTTTTTCATAGGTTATTATCATTGAGTTATTTTTTCTTATTTTTATAACTATAATAAGCTATTTTCCTTTTTTTAATAATATGTTAGGTTTTTCTAATTATTCATTCTCTCTAAATTAGATGTTTATGGTGTGTTTGAGCCCTTTTAATTTTTCAAAATGTATTATGGAATAGTAGATAGGTGGAAAATGTGTTTAAAAAAATATAAATTGGTTTGTGTGTAATATTATTTTAATGAAGAATGTATAATTGAAAATTGTTGGTTTCAGAATCGTATTCACAAAGATTTAACAATAATTTGCAGAAAAGTAAAGAGAACACAAAAGAATTATCACCACAAGGCCTGGATGTTTAGGTTTTGAGCCTACTCACTCGTTGAGTATCTAGAAGAAGATTACGCTCAATTTTATTAAGAAATCACCAAGAAATAGTATAAATATATGAAGAAATCTCTGATATTTATCTCGCCTCTCTTTCAATCACAAAGAGAAAGTAATCTATACACCCTTTCTCACATACCGTTTACCAAAAAAAATCTAAATCAACACTCAGAAGATTTATAGATAAAACTATCAAGTATCAAGACTACAGAAAGATAACAAGACGAGAAAACCTTAGAAACTTCATACACTCAAAAAACTCAAACATCGTGTGGAAGAGGGAGGCTATACATATTCAGACATGGATAAAGCCATTTGTACATTGTTTTCCTTACATCATGTTTGACATTCCATTGATTTTCAAATTGAAATGGGCGGGAATGCGTGTTGTGTTTGAAAATTGTCTAATAATGTCAAGACAGGTGGTACAATGTAAAGAATGATGTAAAAATTAATATATAAGTATCATGATCCATTCAAACATAACCACAGATCAAACTGCCACAATAATAGCAAATGAAGGGTTCGGATTAAACATAACAAAACAGCCAATTTCGTGTTACTAAAACACGTTTTGGAAACGGGTGATCAAGGCCCAAGTAAGAATGCTCCCCTTTGGCCCAAGTAGAAATAACCGACAACGAAGGCTAGAGCTCAATGAATAGTGAAGCACCAGTCCAAGTCCAACAAAAATGAGTACTTTAGAAAAAAAAAAATGTGATAGAATGTAATATAATGAGTGACAAATAGGGGCTTTATTGGGGCAAAAATTATCTAGAAATGTTACTCTGTCATGAGTTGGCACATTTTGTCCTTTCCATCTAAAAAATTCGACTAATGCCGTGTAAAAAGATGAATTTATTCTTTAACTCAAATAAACCAAAGAAAAAGCAGAAAATGTTTCATCCGAAACTCAATTGCTAAACTAGAGAATTTATAAAAATAAAGTGCAAGATCTAGACTTTTCCGCTTTCATTTATCAAGTTTAGGTGCATCAATTTACACTCTTACCTTGTCATTCGTTCGAGTTAACCTTAAACAACCAGATATAATACGAACATGTGTTCCCGACAGCCCCTCGGGGCACATCCAAGTTGGCAAAGGACGGGCATTGCGGGGCTCGCAACCCCAGCGTGGGGAGTTCGATTCCTGGTTGGAGCAGTTAAGTGATGTAATAACCATTCTTGGTTGGAGCAGCTTGGTGATGTAATAATCATGGAGGAAGGCTCCCTTGGGGCCAGGAGTATAAAGGATGCACGGACCCTGATCAACTTGGGCATATACCACGATTTACCTGCACTAGTCACTGAAGGGCCGGGGGCTAGGGGTCCAGGATTTAGTCTGGCGAAGCTGGGACACCAAAAAAAAAAAAAAAACATGTGTTCTCGACAAAATTTGTCCACTGATCTCCAGAAATCTTCATCAAAGTAGGTCATACAACAATTTGTAACCTCTGACGATCCATTTGACATAATTTTTAAAAAGGCAAAAGTTGAATAATGTTTTAGAAGTACTTTGTCTAGATATAAGAAATTTTAGAAAAAAAATTGGTTTATAGTAGCTTCTCATGAAACTCTTGTATGAAAAAGTAAAAATAAAAATAGAAATCCGCCAAACAAGCACTAAAAGATATTGGGCCTTGAAAGTGATCTAATCTAAATATTACAAAGCGACTCCTTGAACAATTACCAGACCATATCAGAAATCATCAAAATTAGCAAAATATTGTCACGCTTTTGTACTTTATGAACTCATCAAGAAAGTAGTTGTGGTCAAATCATCGGATGCCAAAAACTTAAATTATGTCTGATATTGAAGTCCCTTTAGTTTTAACTTTTTAACAAAATTAGCAAAATAGTCACGCTTTTGTACTTTATGAACTCATCAAGAAGTAGTTGTAGTCAAATCATCGGATGCCAAAAACTTAAATTATGTCTGATACTGAAGTCCCTTTAGTTTTAACTTTTTAAGGGCTCATTCTCCCATTAAGAAACCTGCCCGAGGACGTCCCCTTCTTAGTGGACAAATGCATAGAAAGGCTATTTTTATATTAAACGGCGAACATACTGAAAGCCTAAATTGGGCATTTCAGACCATCTTGCCAAGAAAATATGGTCGTCCCTGAGAGCCGCCATAATTTATTTGGAAAGTGCTAAATATACATACACTTATACAAAATAGTTTACTCACCCTCACAATGGGAGGGTGGGGGCCACATGTTGGTATTTTTTATTTCATGTGGAGCCCGAGTGTTTGTGAGAGTGAGTAAAATATTTTGTATAAATGTGTCTGTACAAATATCGTTATCCAATTTATAAACTTATGGGAAAGTTATACTTGTGTTCACATAAATTTCAACGAAATTTTAATGGGGTCGCCAAAATTTAATTTGTCTCAGTTGAGTTCTTCTTAGTGGACAAATGCATAGAAAGGCTATTTTTATATTAAACGGCGAACATACTGAAAGCCTAAATTGGGCATTTCAGACCATCTTGCCAAGAAAATATGGTCGTTCCTGAGAGCCGCCATAATTTATTTGGAAAGTGCTAAATATACATACACTCATACAAAATAGTTTACTCACCCTCGGCGAACATACTGAAAGCCTAAATTGGGCATTTCAGACCATCTTGCCAAGAAAATATGGTCGTCCCTGAGAGCCACCATAATTTATTTGGAAAGTGCTAAATATACATACACTCATACAAAATAGTTTACTCACCCTCACAATGGGAGGGTGGGGGCCACATGTTGGCATTTTTTATTTCATGTGGAGCTCGAGTGTTTGTGAGAGTTATGGGAAAGTTATACTTGTGTTCACATAAATTTCAACGAAATTTTAATGGGGTCGCCAAAATTTAATTTGTCTCAGTTGAGTAATTGAACTTCAACTTAGTTTCGATAGGGTTACTAAATTTCAATTTAGTTTAAAATTTCACCGTTCTATCACCTATCGCCTCTAAAATTGATGACAATTTCCTATTGGAGAGTCATTTTCCACGTATCTTCCACGTGATGGTTAAGTTACATACCAACTTACTATATCCCTTATTTTACTGTTTTTGCTTTTATACTACCACGTAACTATTACATAAATGATTTATTATAATATGACAAGAAAATTTTTGGTGGGACGCTGTTATTGTGCAATCATGAAATGCGGAGTCACCACCTCATCGGGTGGCCCATCCTCACCCCGATAAGATGAGGCCACCTCGGGACTTGAGACGTGCGACCATCCCACCAAAGTTTTTCTCTAATACAACAGTCAATATGCAATTTCCAAATAATTAAAAAAAAAAAGTACTATATCCCTTATTTTACTGTTTTTGCTTTTATACTACCACGTAACTATTACATAAATGATTTATTATAATATGACAAGAAAATTTTTGGTGGGACGCTGTTATTGTGCAATCATCAAATGCGGAGTCACCACCTCATCGGGTGGCCCATCCTCACCCCGATAAGATGAGGCCACCTCGAGACTTGAGACGTGCGACCATCCCACCAAAGTTTTTTGACTTGAGACGTGCGACCATCCCACCAAAGTTTTTCTCTAATACAACAGTCAATATGCAATTTCCAAATAATTAAAAAAAAAAAAAAAGAAATCTATTAAAAACTAAGATTTTCTTGCCTTGACTTTGGTCCACCACTCCTTGGTACAAGAGCCAAAGTCACGCGTAAAAGAAGTTGGTTGTCTAGCATCACTCCTATTCACAATCTTGTTTTATCCAAAATATCCACTTCTTGAAAATCGACAAGAAAGCAAAAGAACAAAGTTGAACCAGCCAAAATTTCTACAATAAACTATTCACCATGAAGGAGAAGTAGAAGGAGACCCTAATGAAGACGTTGAAATACATTCATTGTTACTATTCGAATCACTACCAGTAGTGCATAGAGAACGAGCATCTCTCAAAGAAACTGAGCATCCCTCAGCTGGAAGTTTCTTCATTGGTGTTAATGGAGGCGTTTCATCTCCTTCTTCATCTTCAACTTCATCTTCCCCACAAAACTCAATTCTTTCGTCCAGCCGTGATGGCGACGTGTCCGGCGTTACAAATGGCGTATCAACCTTGCTATTATTATAAATTGGATTGGATATGTATATAAACTCTTCCTCGTGTTGAAGTTTCTGTGAAGAATATAGATGGCCAACAACTTGAGCATCAGTGGGTACTTCTGCTTGTATTTCTTGTGAAATATGCTTCTCTAAATCCACGTTAGAATTTGGAGGGAACAGCATATTTCTTGGAGCTTGAAGAACCCCTCGTGAATAAAAGCCACTGAGAGAAGATGGTGCAGAAGCTACACCATTCTGTTGGGGAGTCGAGGGATAGTTTGTTGGGGAAAATCGCGATTTGTGTATGGAAAAAGAGTTCTTACGGAAGTGTCTACGCAAGAAGAGAGAACAGTAAAGCTTGGCTAAGAGTATCAAAACTAGGCCCAACACACAGGCAACGCCAACCACCATGATAATTGTTGCACCCATAACTATTTTGGAAGTGTTCTTCACATCTCTTGATGTAGTTGAGTGCGCAAGTGAAGGATATGGAGAATATATCGTTAAAAAGAAGTATCACTGATAATTTTGGTGGGAAAAGAGTGTTGGTTTGTCTTGTGAAGTGTGGTGGGACTAGGGAGGTAGATTTTATTGGATGCAAGGGAGAATCTTGAAATGGGAATTGGGAAATGAGAAGTATGATTATTTTGAGCAAGTAGGGCTTGTGACAAATTAAAGGTCATTTGGCTGATTTTGTAAAAGGATTGATGGCACTAAAATCATTGTTCTGTTCTGAACTGGACAACTATCGATACTACAAAGTCCCTGTTTAGTTTAGATGAAAATCAAATCTTTGTTAGATTTTGATAAAAGTTGATGAATTTTGTAATTGAAAAATTGTAGATCCATCAAACATATTATTAAAATTAATTGTTGACTTTGATTTAGAATTTAATCCAATTTTTGTTGTTGAACCAAACAGGGACAAAGGCTTATAAGTTAGAACACGTATAAATAAGTGAAAGTTGCTAAAATGTTCAATTTTGACATCCCATTTAGAAAAAGAATAATGTTACGTAGCCTTGTTAATATAATATTGATTTAGGTAGCTATAAGTGCTAAAGTGTCTTAAATATTACTAGTTTTTCTACTTTTTAAGTGTTCGACGTTCAACGTTTTTAATATCGCTTCAAAGAATTCTCAAAGACAAATTCAATGTTATCGTTAAAACTCAAATCGTTGTCTGAGCACCTAATTTTGAGGCCGAAAAAACTCGAAAATGCTCTTTAATACCATTTCGAGGATCTTGACTGTGCAACATAGCTGAAATGGGTTTCTATTTTTCATTTTGGTATCCTGAACTTAACTTTCAGCCTTTTTGCAATTAAGTCCCCAGGCATTAACTGTAGTTCAATTTAATCCTAATGTAGTTTATCCGATGTCCTAATTATTTTCCAATTGCTTTTTGGTCTAAAATTACCGATACCTCAATTTCTTCAGGATTAAATGGATTTCTAGAAAGTCAAAAAGACGTGGGAACCAAGCCAAACTCAAATTGATTGGAACTTTCCAGACTCAAATAAAAATGAAAATATCCGAACCTTCTCGAATCCTTTTCCATTATATATTCAACCATTGCCAGTGTTAACGCCATCATCCTCCGTCTCTAAATTTGAGCTTCATTTATTTACATTCTAACAATTATCAGCTCTCTAATATCTTCTCACAACAATCGCAAATGCCGAGCAGAAATCCAGGTGCGGTGGCGCAGGACTGGGAGCCGGTAGTTCTCCATAAGGCCAGGCCCAAAGCACAGGACCTCCGAGACCCCAAGGCAGTGAACCAGGCTCTACGAACCGGAATTCAGGTCCAAACAATCAAAAAATTCGACGCCGGTTCGAACAAGAAGCATGGAGCGACGGACCTGAACGTGAAAAAGCTGGATGAAGCGGCCGAGCCCGCAGCTCTGGAGCGAGTTTCGGTAGAGGTAAGGCAGGCAATACAGAAGGCTCGGATCACAAAGAAGATGAGCCAAGCCGAGTTGGCTAAGCAGATCAATGAGCGGCCACAGGTGGTTCAAGAGTATGAGAATGGAAAGGCTGTGCCGAACCAAGCTGTGTTGGCGAAAATGGAGAGAGTCTTGGGTGTGAAGCTGAGAGGGAAAGTTGTACATAAGTGATGATTATAATTGAATGTTGAAATTCCTGGTCTCTGTTGTGTTGATTTTGAATAAGAGAGGGAAAAAGAACATAAAAATTGGATGTCGAATGGTCTGGAAGTGGAATTAACTTGTTATGTTATATAATTTGAATTGTTTATAGCTGTTTTGTGTCTTTCATATATTAAAATCCCTATACATATCAAGATCCACAGTGAATCACGAAGACTTCTTTGCATAAACTGAAAACTATAAATTAAAATCCCAATTACAAATGTTCTATAAACTCGGTCAAACAAGTACTATCTCCACTAGGCACTAGTATGAGTAGGGCTGGGCAAATCTTTCCTAATTCGACGATTTTTGTCAAATTAAATATTCGAACGGATATCTGAATTGAAAATCGACGGGTATGGTACGGTTCTCGATTTTAGATCAAGAACTCAAAATTCGAATAAAAATCGAATCTTTCTAAAATTTTTTTATATTGAATAAATTAAATTATTTTAATTTTAATTTTTTCTAAACAAATTAACAATTTCTAAATTCAAATTTTTTCTCAATAATTTGTTTCATTTCTAATTTTTTAATTTTTGATCCAATTATCCATTTTATTGTCTCATTTTTTTGCCCTACAAGATCCAACCGACTAAATAATTCTAAACACTTATATTAAAATACATAACGTTGGCTCGACTCTCACAGTCTCGCTGACATTTCAAAACCTATACAATTATCGATTGACGCTGTGACTTTCGATCGAAATTGTGACCTTCGCCAACCGAAATTTTGACCGTAGCGATCATTTGAATAAGGTAGTCTACTAATCTCTGACATTTCAAAATCATTGAATGTGTCATTAATTGTATTTATATAATGTTGTTATAAATGTTAAAAAATTTAATTATAGTACAGAATCGAACCCGAACGATTCCATAATTATATTTGGACCCAACGGTCCAATTTACTAAATACCCGAAAATTTTGATTCGGTTCGGTTCTCTTTAGAACCGAACCGAACCGAATTGTGCCCACCCAAGTTAGATTATTGGAAATCCATAGGAAGACATGTCCTGGTCACAAAGAGAACTGAACCAAATCGACTCGTGCCCACCCAAGGTAGATTATTGGAAATCCATAGGAAGTCATGTCCTGGTCACGCTATACCAATTAGATTCCACCAATAAGTAGAA